GGAAAATACGGACTGGGCCAACATTGCGACAGCATAGAACGATTGATAACAATTACTGACTATAACCTTCTCGTCGTTATACACACTCGTTTCCAACACACCCCCCCATCGGCAGTTGCAAGCATGTTGTCCAGGCGATGGCCGCACGTCAAACCACATAGTCTATATCTTACTACGCTCAAGGTGGACCACCTTCATGTCCCACAGTCGATCGTTTGTAGGTGCGAAATTTGGATCAGATCATGTACTTGTCCGTGCCCGCTTTAAGCTCCGATTGTCGAATCGCAGTAAGAAACTGCGCACCAAACGTCTCAACGTTATGGCACTGTGAAATCCAGAAACCCGTGCAGCGTTTAACGAAAGTCTCCCTGCACGGATCAGAGATCAATTCGCTGTTCGCATCGAACCTGCACATAAAGTCGATAATCGAACTTCTCCCAATACTCAGTTGCCATGGTTGACAGACACGCTACATTGTGCGATGAATTCGGGCTTGCAAAAACAGGTTGTACCGAGGAAGGACTAGATCTCCACACCGGCCTTGCAACTCTCGGCACAAGCTAGAATCGCTCGGTTGTCAAACTCGGATAACTACCGCTCAGTCAGACGTCAAACTACACGATCAACATGATGCGATCGTCGGAACCATTGGACCTAGTCAGCTGGCTCCATGGGATCAGTTTGAAACTCGGGTAACTTCCACCAGCTGTATTAGCTTTTGCATAAAGCAGCTGGCAAATATAAACCTCCTTGCGCTACCGTTCGGGATAAGTCGGGTCAAGTGGTAACTGATATCGCTGGAAAAATCAATCGATGGCTAAAGCGCTTTAGTGAGCTACTGGAATCACCTATACGTTCGCCTGCGAGCCCACAGCTATCAACTGGAATTCCATACGATAGTGGCTGCGAGCCACCTACGAGATTTGAACTGCAATCGGTATTCCAACGACTGAACGTTCGGAAGGCTGCGGGTGAAGATGGTATCCCAGCAGAAGCCTTCAAAACTTATTGTTCTGCTTTGGCGGACTCACTACACTGGCTGTACTTGACTATATGGACTACCGAAGTTATCCCCACTAATTTGTCACTGACCATTACCTTACCGATACCGAAACGAGGCGACATGCCATTATGCTCAAATTACCGCGGTATTCGCCTAATGGATGTAGCCGCCAAAGTGTTTGCGACTATCCTTCTCCAGAGATTTTCGACTGAACTTAAGACGCCTTCGATTCTATCGCGCTTTCCAGTGATCCGGTGCACTTCCTTAACTATCGATTAACACGGATGCTTTGCGTCTGGTAGTCAAGGAAAAACAACAACAAGACCATGGAATGAAAAGATATTACCTTATCTTAGTACATTTACCTTTAACGCAAGCGATGCTTTAAATAATTTGCTTATCTCCTACATATACAGCCATTCGTGAGACGCGCATTGTCAAACGTTTCCTACCGCTGTTCGGATTCGCGGGTTTCGTCAGGTTTCTCGCTTTCTTATATCCGTCGTCTTCGGCGTGGCTTTCTTGTCCTGTTCGCCTGGAACATCCTTTGTTCGGCCTTCGTATGCCTTCCTACATTCACCTCCGCCGTATAATTCGTGTCTGCCAGGTCGGTCAGCAGTACATACGCTCCTGTTTCGTTCGGCCTCGTCTCGCAGATTCCGCTACTCTCATCTACCAATTGCAAAACATTAGACGGAACATGATTCTTACCTGCCGCCGCGCGTCCGCCACGCGTCTTCTCCTGGTCTGCATCTGCGGTTTCGTGAAAAGACAGAAATTGGTTTGCACGCAGACGCTTGTCTACCCTCGGCTCGCACGCCTCGCGGTTCTCCTCTAAATAACACATATCATCAGTGACAAGATTGCCCTTATCTTCTGCCTCATCCACATTGTACAGTTCGGCAATATGGCGACAGAAAATTTC